ATAAAAGGCTTTTAAAATACATTCCGTTATAAGAAATCCTCATAAAACATAATTGTTGTGTGCAGTATGAATTGGTGAGTCTCCAAGCTGCCCCTCGCGCATCCTGTTCCATCAATCACGGGCGGTCGGGTCGTATCTGGGTCGTCCGTGCAAAAACACGCTGTAAATAAATTACTTATCACTTGATAATTTGGAGTCCGTTGACTCGTTAACGTCACGCTCAACTGTCCAATGTTTAATTTTTTGTTGCACTTTGTTGATACAATATGTGAACGTTATTAAAAGATAAAAAATTATCAATTTTAAAATAAATCAAATATCTCTAATTAAGCATAAAATAATAAAATCTTATATAAGAATTAGTGAAGTGAATACCTTTTCGGAATATTTGTTACAATTATTTGTTTGAATTTTTTTATAGAATAAGGGTGAGAAACTATCATACAGTCCACCTGATGGTTAGTGGATGCTGTAGCCCATAGACATCTACATTTATCCTTGATTAAGAATCAAAATTCAGATGCGTTGTCACCCCTGAGGACTAATATGGAATGCTTCATTTCCCGTAAAATGCGTCTCCTATTCTCTACACTCACCTTACGAAACATAGCAACATTAAGCTGCTAATTTACGCTGGTATTCTGTGAGAGCGTGGTCCTACTACTGAACTGACCCATTCCCGCTACAGCCATAATATAGCTGCAGCGTGGGTCTACCACGTAAAATTGATATTAAACAAATATAGAGCCCTTTATTTATTCGATAATTAAGTTTTATGATGAACGTATATCATCAAGAGTTAGGTATGGTCTTCCAAGGATGGTTCTATAGCAGATGATAGAAAAAAGTTAAAATACGGTTTATTAGTTTCATAAATGCTTAGCCATATTTATGGTATAAACTCGTACGAGGTAAACCACATATGAGACAACGTTTATGTTGTAAGTGAAGGCGTGAATCGTGAACCATTTCAGTTACTCCGATACAGTTGATACGTGAGCAAAGTTTAAAAAATATGTGTCCATATTTTTTAAAACATTTGAATAAATTCTGTGTGCGAAACGCAAATACTCCTATTGGACTTGTTTTAAATATTCGCAATTTGCACTCACATTTACCGCAAAGATGGTTCACAGAATTGACAACTATTTCGTAGACTTCTTATTTATGTTTTCTTTAAAAGTAAAAGTTTAACATTAAACGTACTAAGTCCAACTCCTGGGTACAGGACTCTTCTCATTTCTGAGAAGGTTTTAGGGCTAGGAAGTGTCCGCCGCGCTGCCACAATGCATATTCATGGACTTCACATGTCTTGGAAATATATTTTTTTAATTTCTAAGACATGCAGGTTTCCTCAAGATGTTTTCCTTCACTACACGAGACCACGTAGGCCACGTGGTAAATATGTTTGTTTTATTAGCGGCCATTAAATACGTTATTATATTTTCTTGTAACATTACGGCCTATCAAAAGTCCATTGAAAACATAGGCCTCCCCCATAGATTTCAGTGATATTAGGGAGACGTTGCTGTCCATCTCTCGGTTTATTTCCTTTTATCACCTCTTACGATGCACACAAGACGATATTCTTACACCGTTAATACAAGGTCTTTATTATGTATATAATCAGATATAGGTAACAAAATCATAAAAAAGGTGAAATTTACCAGAGATCATCAATCAAATCAGAAGAAAAAATGAGAGGAGGTCCCAAAAGTGGGAGTCGTATAGCCTGAAACTGTAGTTTGTATGTAATTTGAAGTTAAATGATATAAAGTCAACAAGATGTTGAAGTCCCACGTTTAACATTCGTTCGATTTTTATGAGGCCTGTTTTATAAATTCCATATGAACGGCACTGCATGAAGAAGATCGAGCAATCTGCTATAATTTATAGAATAGAACAAATAGTAAGAAATAAAATATAATGCAATAATAAGTGTAGCCGGCCGCTCAACTTTAAGCTTTATGTACTTTGGTGTGCGTTGAAATACCGACATTAGATGAGAGTACAAATGTGTATTCAATCTTTGAGCATATACGCAAATGCTCGTGCCACACTTAACGACTTTGAAACTATTTGCGTATTTGTAACAATTTGAAGCTAAGTCGCCGGTCCTATGTGTGAAACACGAAGGTCAAAAATTTGCTGGATTTTTATTGTATACGAAATAAGTATTATTATGTTGGCTTTCAAACAAGTAAAGTAAAGTATCAACCTTATAAAGTAAAAGTAAAGGAACGGCCGTGTGATGGTAGCGTAAGAGTCAATTCATCACCTCATTTCGTACCGTAGGTGTCATTAGAGGCAGATACTCCATACAGGATACACAGTGCGTAAAGCACTACTCTCCCTAGACGTCCATAAACCGAGTGGGCCGGAAGGAATCCCCCCAACTGTACTGAAGACGTGTGTTCCATAGTTGAAACCGGTTCTTATGCGTCTTTTCCAGTACTCTTACTCTTTAGGCGTCGTTCCAAGCCCACGAAAAAAAGCCTTAGTGCCCCCGATGCTTATAAAACGTGGCCGCTTGGATCTGTCCAACCACAGGCCTATCTACATCATCTCCTTGTTCTCAAAAATAATGAAAACCATTATTAACTGCCAGCTTATGAGGTATACGGTTTCTGTCGAAGTTGCTCAGCTGGTGATCTTCTTGTGTACCTTACTAATCGATGGGCGGAGGCAATCGAGACAAAGGGGAGGCCATGGCTGTTAGTTTGGACGTAGCGAAGGCTTTTAATCTTTTTAGGCACAAAGCGATTCTTTCGAAGCTTTCCTCTTATGGGCTTCCCGAGAATTTATTAATCGGGATCTCATGATAAACCACTACACGCCACACGTTTACGAATACTAGATCAACGTGGCAGTCAGGAATAACATAAAAAACATGCGTGAGTGTCGTGGAACACTCGGTTGAAACGAAGTTTCTTTCGTAGTAGGTATATTATTATTGATAAACATACTATATTATTGATTAACAAATACAAATAAATGAATTACTCATCATGGCAAAATAAGATAAAGTGTGAGGGAGGTGGATATTATTCCATCTCGCTTCCTTATAGCCGCCAAGGCCGTCTACCCTACGTCAGACGGGGTCGTGACGGAAAAATCTTACACTTTTTGTCGCCTAGCGACAAAACCTAATCTGTTTTGTGCTAGCGAGTGCACCCGCTAGCACCGAAAACAGTGAGATTGTACTTTGATAGGGTTTTGTAATTAATGCAAGTACTATTTTCATCACTTATAAAATTTTTATTTTCTCCGAGGTTTTCCTACAATTAAATCACACAAATAGTATAATTCAAGTTAGCGAAATCTTTATACACGTCCACTTGTCAGGACGGCGTAAATCAAGTAGGTGATCAAGACACTGCACCTTGGACTGCACTATGAAGTTGGTCTAATTAATGTCAAACTATTTTCCGTTTAGAAACATTTTTTTATGTAGTTGTCAACGCCCTGTAATATTCGAATCCGTGGACTGCCAATAGTTAGCGAGAGAAGTAAATATATTTATTCTCATATTTCAACATAAAGGTACTACTTGTTCAAATATACGCGTGTAAATTTTTAGAAAGGCGAATTACTTTTAGTTGAAAAACATCAGAAGCGGATTATTGGAGTAAATTAATTCAATTACCATACTTGTTGATGAATTTCTATTAGGTGAAACCTGATTATTATGTTGAAATAATTTAACTTCATGATTAACTGCCTTATTGAATTAGCCCAGATTAAGCAATAGTTTTGATCTCGTACGGCTTCTAATTTAAGGTTATGATTATTTGTCACGGCAGGTGTAAGAAATATACATTTTATTAAATTTATAAATGCGGTTTTAATTTAAGAGCTGTGCCATTTTATATTTAGCGAAACAGATAAATTTAAAATGCCATTTTAAATGACTGGCATTTTAAATTCATCTGAGTCCAAAAGATTTTTTTAAAAATCTTTTAAAAATTTAAAAAAAAATTGTTTATATCTAAAAACTTCCCATGTGGGACGTTTTTAGATATAAACAATCCATGTCTAGTTGACTGTTCTCTAACAGTTGACGAAAAGAAGACACAATAAGCCAGCGTCTGCAGTATGAATGGGTCGGCTCAACTGGAAGGCACTATCCTCACACAAAATACCATCGTAGAGTAGCATCATGACGTTGCATTGTTGCAAGTGATAAATATTGGGAACCGGAGACCCTTTTTAACGACTGGGCCATCTTCCTCCTCGGAGATGACAACGCTTCTGCATTTCGATTTTTAATCGATGATAAGTATTATTTTTTATCTATGAGCCGTAGTAACCACTTACTATCAGGTAGACTATGTGCTCTTTTGTCACTTTTGCATTTAAGTATATAAATAAAGTTTGAACTTTTACTCCTACTTTTCTCAATCAGCCTAAATGCAGTTCGCAGCTAGACATTGTTTTTTTCGCACAGGCGAAAGTATGAGCACTTACTTATACGTAATAGAGCTACGCTGCAACAATTTTATGGTTATAGCACGAATGGGTCGGCTCAACTGGAAAAGGACCACGCCGTCCAGTCAAAATACCAACGTAAAATAGCAACTTAATGCTGTTGTGTTTCGTATGGTGAGTGTAGAGAGCCGGAGATCCTTTTTAGTGGAAACAAGACATTTCGTCTTAGTCCTCAGGGGTGACAACGCATTTGCATTTTGGATACATTTTAAAAATATAGATTTCTATGGGCCTTGGCATCCGCTTACCATTAGGTGGACTGTGTGCTCGTTTATCTTCCTTATTCTATAAAAAAAAACCTGTCACGTTTGATAGGCGCATTGCCGAAAGAAGAACGATACGTGTGCACCTTTGATGTCATTTCCCGTTATCGGTCAGCGACGTTTATATCTGTATCTATAAATAGGAGGTAGTTCCATCGTCTTCTGTCAGTGGTTGCTAGCTCATATGACGGTTTTTTCTAATATCCCCATTCAAGAAGCTCTGAATAAATGTAGTGAAATGTTCCGCAGGTATCGCGCAGGAGCGTAGCGGCGCCAGCGTGTGATGCTGGCGGCGCGCCGCGGCGGGCGCCGGTGCCGCGAGTAGCGACCATGCGAGGCCCGCGACGCGCCACGCACGCTGCACCGCACGCTGCACTGCACGCTGCATCGTACGCCGCAACCGCCACGCTACTGCTGCTCGTCGTACTCGCCAACCGGGCCGTACACGCGGACAACGGCCTCATCAGTAAGCCCTAAGCCTGAATAATTATCATTACGGTTACTGTTACAGGCTATTAAAGTCCACTGCTGAACATAATCCTTCCCCATAGATCACCTCATAGGGAGGATATTTGCCATAGTTGTCACGCTTGGCAAGTGGGTTGATAACCGCAGTTTTTTAAATTTTAATCGTTATTAGGAAGACACTGCTGCACATCTTCTGATTTGTTTCCCTCTGTCGCCTCTTACGACACCCACGGGATGATATGGGGTACTGGATATTCCTACACCGCCAATACACGGTAATCTGAGTAATTAGTAATTATATTAGAACCAAATTATCACGCATTAAAACCAAACGGTTTATTTCATCTTTCGTAATGCGTACAGCAAAGGAGTGGAATAATTTGCCGGCGTCTGTCTTTCCGTCTGAATACAATCTGGGTGTCTTCAAGGCGAGCGTGAATAGGCTTTTCTTACGCTAAGGCAGTGCGATTCAGCATCTAGGGCTTCATCACCACTTACCACCAGGTGGGATTGTGATCAAGCACTTGCTTATAACATAAAAGTAGAGAGCATTCAACAGGGCGCGGCGTAGCGTCGCGTTCGTCATACATTTTGTGCGGCAGCCTCTCAAGGCACTATAATACCAGCGTGTGGGCTTCTCACACATTCACTAGATGGTAGCTGTTTGGGAAAGTACCACCATCTTACCTATTTCCGCCGTTAAAAAGCAGTGCATGTTCTGGTAGGATGGGTGAAGAGAGTCAGTATCATTTCAAGCTGTAACGCATTCTATTTTTAAACGAATTCAAAAAGCAGGAGGTCCTCAATTCGGCTGTACGTTTTTTTCTTTTATTTCTCAGATGTGACAATGCAACTGTAGCCTTCTTTATTTAATGTTGTAACGTAACGTAAAATCAGGTGGAATATAAGTTCATTATTCAATTAAATTTTATTTAAAAAAAAAAAACATACTGATCGCTTCGCCCCGTTTCACGCTTAATACTAAGTTTGTAAATTAAGTGATGATGTCCTATCGACAACGCGACAATTTCTGAATAATCGTAAATTATTAACTTAAGTAGTAAATAATTATTAACCTAATTATTAACGCGAAGCGTTGTGGTGACGGTGAAAGAGAATACATCACCTCGTTTCATTCCATGGTGTCGTTGACCTTCTAAATAAAAGTCAAAAATCTCATGGATATCAATAGAAGGTGGAATAACCATTTCGTTCATGCCAGACGTAAAATATATCTAGCAACGATGCATGATCTCTAGCACTGCGATCGACAATCGGTGCTAATCTTAGTGATTAAGGTAAATACTCCCTACAAAGGGACAAGCCAATGTCCAGCTTTATCAAGATGGACTGCGTACGAGATGTATAATGGTACATATGTACGCGGAAACCAAGAGGCACTTTACATGTTAATTTACCCAAGAATGAAATAACTAATTGTGCCAATTGTAATATATTATATAGTAATAGGTACGCTAGGATGCAATCGCAGACACAATTTGTATTTCAACATCAAGGTATGTTTATCTATTTCTGCGATTAAGTAGCAGTCGTGTAATTACGTACGTATATAAGTGCTTTATAGAATTTAATAAGTTCTTTGTTTTAAGTTGATGGCAGATGTATGAACTTCTACCCTGAGGTGCAATAATTACTATAATTCAAAGAGGTTTACAGTTTGTTAAAATTTGTTGTTTGTTTGTTAAAAATACTTTTGACTATTTAAATAAACTAACACTACATAGTAGACTTTCCGTTATAAGATATTCATGGAACGCATTAGAAGCAAATACAATATAAGTATATTCTAAAATAAATTATGTATACCAACCAACAGCAACATACTCGTAGCCCGGCTACATAGGCCGGCCTCACTGCAACGTCACCTTCTTTGCTGGTTATAAAAATATTACCACGACGGACAGAATCACGACAACAATTGAGACTCGTTGAATGACCCCAGCTAGTTGTCAGTTCTTTATACTGCTTGTACGAATGGGGGAATTTAACCGCTCAATAGTAATCTACCCTCACTCTTAACATTTGTTTATGTTTTTGAACGAAGTTCTTTATCGGACGATACGGATAGGCGACAAAAAGTGTAAGATTTTTCCGTCACGACCCCTTCTGATGTAATGTAGACGGCCTTGGCGGCTATAAGAAAGCGAGATGGAATAATATCCATCTTCCTTGCACTTTTTCTTATCTTACCATGAAAGAAATATTATTTTATTTTAAATGACAAAATGTAAAGACATATTATCATTCAAGATAATAGTGCTTAACATTTTGAATGCAACACTTTTCTGTTCTATTATTCCTGATAATAATATATTCACCCGAGATATTATCATTAAGGCCGTCTTGTAGTACATTATGTAGGTGTGAAAATTTACCTCACTCTCTTTAATTTTCAGGTGAGTTAGTACTAAAGCGAGGAGAATTTAAGAACAAACAATTTATTTAAGAATTTTTAAAACTGATGCTGGAGCTATATTACGGTTGTAGCACAAATGGGTCGGCTCGACCACGGAAGGACCTTGCTCTTACAGAATACTAATAATTCTGCAGTGTTTCGTATGGTGAATGTAGAGAACTGGAGATCCTTTTAATTGGTAACGGGACATTTTTACTTAGTCCTCAGGGATGACAACGCATCTGCTTTTTGAATTTTAATCGAGCATAGATGTAGATGTCTGTGTGCTCCTTTGTCACCATTATCTATACAAATAAATAAAATTGAAGCGTCTGTTGGTAATGTCAAATTTTTCAACAAGTCCTAAAAATAACGATTTGGTGTCATCTTTGTGTTTTTTTTTTTATCGAGCCAGTTATTATGATCGTATATCATGTTTCGGTCTGCACATATTACTTGTCCTTATGCTTATTCCTTATTATAATATGTATTATAATTATGTTTTATATGTTATGTTATGTTATCAGAGCCGAAGAATAGTAAAAAAGTACTGCAACGTCGCCTTAACACACTGGCGGCAGCACGAATTTGCGGGGTCGCGTCGGTACTTTGCGCTTTGGAACTTAGCTAGAGTGTCCACACTAAAAATCTATGTGGCACAAATTCCTCATTCATTATTTTAAAAAAAACGACAGTGACAGATTACGAACGAGTTGACGTAAATGCAAAATTTGACACGTGGATTGGAGATGGCGATCGTACTATCAGATGTATCGCATACTTGATCGTACTTTCGCAATAACTAAATATTATTCCGACGTTGATAGCTACAAGAGCTATTCCTAAATATATTTCTGTTTAGCTAGTTTTTCTTATAACGCTATCACACTGAGTGAAAAAGTCCTTCACTAAATTACTTGATCCGTCAAGTATAAAGTTAACAAATGTTTACGAGTCTCAAATAAATTATCGAATATTGCAAGCGTTAAGGAACCATGTCACCGTCAGCCGCTACATTACAGATCATTGGATACGAACAAATGAGCGACATGTGATCTATGCGCCGTATGTAAGTGGCGACCCGCTACAGAACGAGTTGCTCAACAATGTGGCCAGCGCACCTTGAGCGTAGTATTGCCAGAATGTATCTCTTAGATGGATTGTCTATATTATGTGGACCAATATACTTCAAGTTATAATATACAACACAAAAATTCTACAAAGATATTATCATAAAACATTTCTTAAAAAGTCATTTGAAAATTAATAAATTCATGAACGTGATTATTATTATTTTTATTAACTTTTAGAATTATAAACGTTGCGACTATTAAAATTATTTTTTGTTAAAAACTGTTATTTTACTTAAATTAGTATCAGTATAGAAGAATAGAGTTTTTGATACGAAGTTTTTAACTTGTAATATTATTGATGGTTTGTGTAACAGAAACGTTTTTATACGTGGTAGAGCCTTGCTGTAGCTATATTAGTAGTATAGTTGTAGCACGAATGGGTCGGCTCGACCGGGGAAGGACCACGCTCTCACAGAATACCAGCGTAAAATAGCAGCTTAAAACTGCTGTGTTTTGTATGGTGAGTGCAGAGAACCGGGGACGCTTTTTACTGGAAAAGAGGCATTCCATCTTAGTCCTCACGGGTGACAATGCATCTGCATTTTGATTCGCAAGCGAGAACAGATGTAGATGTCTATGGGCCACAGCAACCACTTACCATCAGGTGGACTGTGTGCTCGTTTGTCACCCTATCCTATAAAAAAAACAGAAACTTTTTTATGCAATATATATTATAAATAATACTTATTGAAAATCACCTTTGTTTAATTACCACTGGTTCGAAAAAAAAGCCTCTGTCCTGGTACCAGCAAGAAACCCAGCGGGACTTTTTTTTTAAATAACAGTCTACAATCATATATGTCACACAATTAACCACAGAAAACAAATTAGAAATAGCTTGGTAGCGATCATCTCATTCCCAGGGGTTATTATCATCTATAAATTCCTTAATATTATAATAACCCTTTTTATACAAACTTTCTTTAATAAAGTTTTTAAACTTTGAGCAGGGCAAATTTTGTATATTTTCTGGGATTTTGTTGTAAAAGCGTATACTTCGCCCCAAGAATGAATTACTGACTCGGTGGAGTCGAGTAACTGATACTACTAGCTTGTATTTGTTCCTAGTATTAATTTCCTTAAATTTTTGATAACAATGTTCTCCATACCTAATTTCGATTATGGTAGTCGGTATCAATGGAGAATAGCTAACTGCGTAGGAAAAGAGTACAGTGCACTCTCCATATCTTCGAGATATATATCTATCTCTATAGATATATTTATATACGGATACGGAGGATATACGGACCGGACACGATCGGAGAGAGACAGGAGCAGGACTAAATTTGCAGAAACTAATGTTTTTCAAGATGAAGAATTGCTAATTTTTTGACTGCTACTGAGAATTCATTGACAAAAAACTCAATATTGAATAAACAATTTTTTACGAATTTTATCACGTTTGATTTACTTATTTTTAATTCCCGACGTTATTCACCTCTAAGTAGC